AAGGACGACACCAGACTCTTAACCTGGGGAGAGGGAAGGACAGTTGAGTTATCAATGGTAATGGAAACTTTATTAGCTTTGGAGAGGGTATGAGGTGTGCCCACCAGGAGGACTTCGGTTTTTGAGCTGTTCAGTTTGAGAAAGTTAGAGGAAAACCAAGAATGAATTTCTTGGAGACAGAGGGTAAGAGAGGTTGGTGGGAGTGAAGAAGATGGTTTAGTAGAAAGGTAGAGCTGGGTGTCGTCCGCGTAGCAATGAAATTTGATGTTGTGCTTACGGAGGATGTAACCAAGAGGGAGGATGTAAATGATAAAAAGGAGAGGCCCCAATACAGAGCCTTGGGCACTCCAGCGGAGACGGGGAAGGTAACGGATTTCTGGGTTTTTAGTTGTATGAACTGTTTCCGATCTGAAATGTAGGAAGTAAACCAAGCTATAGGAGTGTGGGTGATACCAATAGATGATAATCGACTGAGGAGGATGGGATGAGAAATGGTATCAAAAGCTGCAGTGAGGTCCAAAAGAATGAGAATTGAAAGTAACCCAGAATCAGAAGCCATAAGAAGGTCATCTGTAATTTTAATGAGTGCGGTTTCAGTGCTGTGAAGCGGACGGAAGCCTGATTGAAACTGTTCATAGATGCTATTCAACATGAGGTGATTATGAAGTTGAGAGGCGACTGTTTTTTCCAAAATTTTGGATATGAAGGGTAAGTTCGATATGGGACGGAGATTGCTAAAATTAGTGGGGTCCAGACCTGTTTTTTTCAGAATGGGTGTGACCGAGGCAATTTTAAGTGAGGGGGGGACTGAACCGGAGCTTAGGGAAGAGCGAATAATCTCAGTGATTAGAGGGGCAAGTGAAGAGCAGCAGGATTTAACCAAAGTGGAGGGAAGTGGATCGAGCTGACATGTGGAGGGTTTAGATTTATGAATAATATCTGAGATGGCTTGAACAGAGGGAAGGTCAAAACTTGAAAAAGTAGTAGTTGGGTATAGATAAGGAGTGTTAAGGTTGTATCCAGAAGCTGCAGCTCCGGAGGAAGTCAGGTGATTATGGATGTCTGTAATTTTGGAAACAAAAAAGAACATAAGGTTATTGCAAAAGTCTTGGGATTGCATATGGTACGGAAGAGAGTCAGGAGGTTTTGTAATAGAAGTTAAAAGAGAGAACAGAGTTTTAGAACTGTGGTGATTAGAGTGGATTAAGTGAGAGTAATATGCAGATTTAGCTGAAGAAAGGGAATTCTTATACAGATTGACATGCTCCATGTACATGTTTTTATGAATGGTAAGTCCAGTTCTGTTAGCAAGACGCTCCAGCTGACGACCCTGAGATTTCAAAAGGCGCAGGGCGGGAGTGAACCAGGGTGCTGAGCGGGTGAAAGAGACTGATCTGAATCTCAAAGGAGCATGAGTGTCTAAGAGAGCATGAAGATTAGTGTTATAATGAGAAACAAGTTCATCAGGTGAACAGCTGGCAGGCACACTTGGAAAGTTATTAATATCAGATGCAAAAGTGCCAGTGTTAATGTCCTTAATGTTTCTGAAGGAAATGGTGCGAGGGACGATCAATTTAGATAGCGGGAGAGTGATGTTAAAGGTAATAAGCATGTGATCGGAAAAGGCAACAGAGTGAGTTTTACAGACAGAGGGGATGATACCAGAACAACAGACTAAGTCGAGCATATGCCCCCCACAGTGAGTTGGAGAGTCGGTATACAAGTGCAGATCGAGGCTTTCAAGGCAAGATGCAAAGTCTCTGGCAAGAGGAGAGCTGATATTATCCATATGAATATTAAAATCACCCAAAATGATTAAGTTATGGGATAGGGTTGATAGGTGAGTGAGAAGTTGAGAAAAGTCATTCATAAAGTCTTTGTTATATTTTGGAGGACGGTAAACAGTAACCACGACTGTGGGCGAGGGTCCGGGCAACAGTGAGGCAGAGTACTCAAACGATGAAAATAGAGGAGAATCAGGAATCGGCAAGACTTTCCAGGACTCGCGATGAAACAATGCGAGACCTCCGCCACGCCCAGAAGCACGGGGCTGACAGTTGTAAACAAACCCCGGCGGAGCAGACGCGTTAAGGGGAATAAAATCATTGGACTGCTGCCAGGTTTCAGTCAAACATAAAAAGCTTATTCGCTATCCACTTGCAGTCCAGTTAAAAACAATATCATACTTTTTAATACAAACTCTCCTTTTTTATAGTACATTTGGACACATTTGCAGCTTTACCAAATTTGCAAAATATTACATTATTAATCAGATGCTAAACAAGGCAGTGCAAGTTAATTTATACAGCCCATTTTATACACAGTGACATTTCACAGTGTTTGCATGACCAGGATAAAGAGAAAGACACACAAAACTCATTTATAAAATCATTTAAGAATAAATATGAAATCAGCTGTAATTACTTCTTAGTGAAATGCCTCTAGTGAGTTTGTTTGCACACTGTTCATTCTTTATTCTTTATATTAAACCAGATCTTAAACAGCCTGTTGGTCTTTTGCTGTACAGCGCAGTGCCTGGGAGTGGTTACTACTACGCTATTTTCTACAGCACTCAGGTCATAAACTAGGAAGTATGTTCTTTTGCAAGCGGTAGGAATGGAAAAGGCCCACGTGACAAGAGTTTTCTCATGCCCGAATGAAACAGTCACTGTGATAAGGTCAAGCAAAGTGTGTTACAAACAAATGAGCTTCATCATAAGGCAACAATCAAAGTATCCTTGATCATCAAACAAGCATTTGTATATAATAAATAAATGTGGAAGGTAAATGAACAGACTGTTTTTATGTGTCTTCAGCTCACGTAGAGAATGAGGAGCAGTACATCCAGGCACTGGAGAGGTTTACAGATAACTCTGTGTACAAAGACGATCCTGAGATGTCCAATCACTTCCTCAAATTTGCTAGTTTCACCAAAGAGCTCACTGGTCTCTTGAAGAACTTGGTGAGCTAGTCTCTGACATCCATATACTGTAGATCATTTCATGAGACACTGTGGGTTTACATGCAGAGTGTTTTCACACACTCAGTGTTTTAACACTTGTTATTATAAACAGACTATACACTTCATTTTGAATCGTTTTTTGTTGCCCACAGCTGCAGAACATGAATAACATCATCACATTCCCACTTGACAGTCTGCTGAAGGGAGACCTCAAAGGAGTAAAAGGGGTATGCAATGATGTGGAAATATATATATATATATACACAGTATATGTACAGTATAAACACTACAGATCATTCATTAGACACTACATCAAAAAATGGAGAACACAGAATCCAAAGCATGCAGTTACAGAAAAAGTATATTGTGAAAAAGTAAACTAATTTTACAATTACCTAAAAATGTTTTGTAATCGCAATGTACAGTAGTAAGGTGAATAAATTATACACTGTATGCACTGCAAGTATTACACTGACTATTGTATAGTATTGAATGTCTGTATTCAGCACTTGCATACTGAAAAGACACACAGTGAACCAACTGCAAAAGTCAAAAAGCTTACAGTAAAAAACACTCTAAATGAAAAGCATGTTAGCATAGTTAGCCTTTTGCAACACCAAGTGCACCACAGTGTGAAATATGTTTTAGTGAGTGAGAATGTGTTAAAGAGTGCACAAGATATGCAAACAGTGCCTGACAAATTGGTTTAAGCTATTGAGAATTTGGTTCAGAGAATGGGGTTTAGTGTTTTAGCAATTAAAAAAAAAACAATATGGTTGAGGACTTTTTGCACATCACAGGCAATGTTGTCTCTTGCCAGGCACAAAAAAAACCCTAGTCTGCCAGATCCAGTCTTGACAACACTCTCCGCTCCTTGCTCTTCCTCCTATTCCTCATCCTCTTCCTCCTCTTCCTCATCCTCTTCCTCCTCTCCCTCTCAGATTGTTTCCATCTATTGTGTGCCTGTGTTTGGCACTTTGCAACACAAAATGCATAAAGAGTGCATGAAACTTTCAAACAGTGTCTATGTGCCTGAACTTGTTTAAAATTTGGCAGAAAGAGTGCAAATTTGACAAGTTGGTTTAGGCTATTGAGAATTTGATTCAGAGAATGGGGTTTTGTGTCTTAGCAAAAACTGTAATGAACCAAACTTTCATAACATCTTTCATAAATTTTTTTTATCATGGTGGTCTGCTTAAGTGTGTATTGAAATGTTTGACCTTTAAAGGGTTAGTTCACCCAAAAATGGAAATTCTGTCAGCTTTTATTCACCCTCATGTTGTTTCAACCCCGTAAGACCTTCATTCATCTTCGGAACACAAATTAAGGTATTTTTGATGAAATCTGAGACCTGGATCACTCCTCCATAGGCTTCTTGAAGGGATACTCCACTTTTTTTTTGCAAATAGGCTCATTTTACCACTCCCCAGAGTTAAACAGTTGGGTTTTACCGTTTTCAAAACCATTCAGCCGATTTTCTGATATTTTGAAGAATATCAGTAACCAGACAGTTTCTGGTCTCATTGACTTCCATAGTAGGTAAAAAAATATACTATGGAAGTCAATGAGACCAGAAACTGTCTGGTTAATGATATTATTCTAAATATAAAAAAAATCAGCTGAATACATTCGAAAACGGTAAAACCCAACTGTTTAACTCTGGGGGAGTGGTAAAATGAGCCTAATTCCAAAAAAGTGGAGTATCCCTTTAAGGGATTGAAACTTGTTTCCCAAAAAGTTATTAAAGACATTGTTTAAATTGTCCAAGTGACTACAGTGACTCAATCCTAGTTTTATCAAGCAACTAGAATACTTTTTGTTCGCAAAAAAAGAAACGGCTTTATTCAACTATTAATTTCCTTCTTTGTGGGCCTCGAGTGAGTTCACAAGTGTAACAGCGTAAGCTTCTGTTTTTGTACAGTACGTCACACTCATCACACATGACCAGCGTCGGCCAATAGTGAGCCTACGTGTGACGTAGCTCTACGCTATCACACTACGTTAACTGACTAGAGGCCCACAGAGAAGGAAATGAATAGTTGAAATAAAGTCGTTATTTTTGTTCGTTTTTGCGCTCAAAAAGTATTCTCGTCGCTTGATAAAGTTAAGATTGAGCCACTGTAGTCACTTGGACTATTTTAATGATGTCTTTAATAACTTTTCGGTGCCGGCCAGTTTCAATCCCTTAGAAGCCAATGGAGGAGTGATCCAGGTCTCCGATTTAATCAAAAATATCTTAATTTGTATTCTGAAGATGAACGAATGTCTTACGGGGTTGGAACAACATGAGGGTGAGTAAAAACTGACAGAATTTTCATTTTTGGGTGAACTAACCCTTTAAGACTTGATTATCATGTTAACTGTGTTCTCGTTTGTTTTTGCAGGATTTGAAAAAGCCTTTTGATAAAGCATGGAAGGATTATGAAACTAAACTGTAAGCACCCATTAACCCCTTAATATCTCAGAAAAAATATAAACAAGTACAAATCAGTGAAATTTAAACTTGAGTGTTAGACAATATGTGGGGCGTTATGCTTTTAGATATTCCAGTACCTTCTTACAACATGATGCATGAAAATAATCACATTCCTGCTGAGTTTTAACGATTGTAGATGAGTTTATTTTGATCCACTATGCAGAGGAAGGGGAGGTTTATTCATTTCAGATGTTTGAACGTAATTCATGAGCCTGTAGCATAGCTGAAGAGCTTATCGCAATTTGGGGCCATACCATCAACACATCAACATAAACATCAACACTAGCATTTATGGTTTATTTGTACATTCTGAGCATTATGAGGCATTGATGAAAGACTAATGTTTTTTGCACTAAACTTGTTCACAGGAACAAGATTGAGAAAGAAAAACGGGAACATGCCAAACAGCACGGTCTGATCAGAACAGAGATCAGCGGAGGGGAGATTGCAGAAGAGATGGAGAAAGAGAGACGCCTTTTTCAGCTTCAGATGTGTGAAGTAAGGAATGTGGTTCATATACAGCCAACATCAGCAGGGACTTTCCTTTATTTGTTTAAATTGGGCAGCAGTGGTGGTCCTGGCCAATACTAGCCAATACAGAGACCAATCTTCAGTGATTTTACCTTCCATCAGCAAGAGCAAAGTGTGAAGATGAGCACAGAAATAGTATAGCTGTACATAAAATATTGCAATCCATACAAGCTCTGACTAAACTTGTCAGACAATATCATCATATCTTTTCATGAAATTATTTTATAGCTTATGGTCTGATAGAAAGCAATTGAAATGATTGTTATTTGCTTTGTTTTGCAGTATCTCATTAAAGTGAATGAAATTAAAGTCAAGAAGGGGGTTGACCTGCTCCAAAACCTCATCAAATACTTTCATGCTCAGTGCAAGTATGTTTATTTATAATATTGTTTAATATTATGGCCTGGTTTCACAGACAAGAACTAAAACTAAAAGCTACTGTTTTGTCTCAAGATGCACACCAGTAATGTTTTTTTACTTATATTGATTTTGGCCTAATCTGTCTGTGAAACCAGGGCTATATATCCCAGTAACAATATGTTTCATATTTAAATGCGTATTTTGACATCATATTTGATTTTTCTTCACAGTTTCTTTCAGGATGGGATAAAAGTTGTGGACAATCTAAAACCTTTCATGGAAAAACTTGCCACGGACTTGACCGCAGTGTGTTATTTGATATTACTGTCTAATCTTTTGAAGGTGTATTTTTTTTTGTTTAAGACAAAAACAATTTATTTTTGTTATTATTTGTGTGTGAATTGCAGAACAAGCAGACACAAGATGCAGAAAGGAAACAGCTGATGCAACTGAAAGATATTCTTAAATCTGCCCTCCAGTCAGAGTGTAAAGAGGTGAGCCATCTCCAAATGACTGTAAACTATGATTGATAGGAAGATTGCTTAATTTCCGTGGTAACTCTTGTTGTTTTGTTTGTTTGTATGGTGAAAGGATATTCAGGCAAAGCAGAGTGCTGGCTATAGTCTTCACCAACTGCAGGGCAATAAAGCTCACGGCACTGAGCGCTCTGGGATGCTTCTCAAACGCAGCGAGGGGTGAGTTCGTCTGGTGCTTTAAAGATATTAACAAACATTGAGAACTTTTTTTAGGCCAGGCCAGTGAATTTTCTGGAAAGTTTGTGTGATGAAGCCTTTTTCTCGATATTACAGACTGAGGAAGGTTTGGCAGAAAAGGAAGTGCTCTGTGAAAAATGGACTATTGACTATTTTTCATGGAACGGTAGGGGAAAGAAACAGGCACTCGTTTCTCCTTTCAGAATTACGTTTTAGTTTTACAAGCTTGCCGCTATAATTTGAATATATCTATTATAAGAATATATTTTAATTTTGAATAGAATTAGTCAAGAATACAAAAAAAATATTTGTATTAAATATATTTCTTAAATGTATTATGTAATATCAGTTTATTAAAATTTATGTAATTTTAGTGGGTAATAAATCCTGTATTTTCTCTTTCCCTCTTGCTCTATCTCTCGTTTTCTTGCAGGCCAACACACCGCCAGCAAACCTGAACCTCTTAACCTGCCAAGTGAAGCGTAACCCAGATGAGAAAAAATGCTTTGATCTTATATCCCGTAATATACTAGCACAGTTAAAGCACAACACAGTCATAAATTCCAGTATTCTCAGAGTCTGTCATGGCTCATATGGTTGGTTGATCATCTTTATTCGCTTACTGTTCTCTTCCATCTTCTAGATGACAGAACGTATCACTTCCAGGCAGAGGACGAGGCAGAGTGTCAAATGTGAGTGTGTGTGTGCTCATATGATGATTTGATATCATGATATATATATATATATATATATACACACAATACAAT